CAAAAACCCTGGCAACCAATAGGATACCTGGACAAAAGTTACACTACCTTTGTATGCCCAAGAGCTAGAGTCCAAAAGAGAGACCCCACTTGGCACAAAACCCCTACAATTTTTTTAGACCTAGAGCTAAGGCCCAGGAGGAGATCACCTGGCACAAAAAACTCTTACCTTTAAAGAGCTAGAGCCCAAGGGGAGATCCCCTCTGGCCCCTTAAATACACTATTTACCTTTTAAGAGGCTAGAGCTAGAGCCCAAGAGGAGATCACTCTGGCACAAAATACACTGCTACCTTTAAAGAGCTAGAGCCCAAGAGGAGATCACTCTGGCACTAAATACACTACTACCTTTAAAGAGCTAGAGCTAGAGCCCAAGAGGAGATCACTGGCACAAAATACACGTTTTTTTTTATATTTATATATATATATATATTATATATATATATATATTATTATATTAAAATAATATTATTTTTATATATATATATATATGTGTGTGTGTGTGTTTTGTGTGTGTGTGTGTGTGTGTGTGTGTGTGTGTGTGTGTGTGGTGTGTGGTTTGTGTGTGTGTGTGGTGTGTGTGTGTGTTGTGTGTGTGTGTGTGTGTGTGTGTTGTGTGTGTTTTGGGTGTGTTTTGTGTGTGTGTGTGTGTGTGTGGTGCGAACCCGTGTGTGTGTGTAAATAAATAAGAGAACATGATTTGGTTACTACTGACAGTAGAAGTGTAAATAATATATATCAGAACATAGTAGTTACTACTGACAGTAGAAGTGTAAATAATATATATCAGAACATAGTAGTTACTACTGACAGTAGAAGTGTAAATAATATATATAAGAACATAGTAGTTACTACTGACAGTAGAAGGGGTAAATAATATATATCAGAACATAGTAGTCACTACTGACAGTAGAAGTGTAAATAATATATATAAGAACATAGTAGTTACTACTGACAGTAGAAGTGTAAATAATATATATCAGAACATAGTAGTTACTACTGACAGTAGAAGTGTAAATAATATATATCAGAACATAGTAGTTACTACTGACGTAGAGTGTAAATTTATATATATCAGAACATAGTAGTTACTACTGACCCCCACAGGATGGGTATGGGGTACATAATGAAGATATTAAACAAAACTACTGACAGTAGAAGAATAAATAGAGCTAGAGCCCGAGAGGTCACGCTGGCACAAAACATACTAATATCCCTCGATGACCTAGAGCTAGAGCCCAAGACAAGATCACTCTGGCACAAAACACTACTACTACTACTTTTCTATGAACTATGGTGAGGGGCTCTTGATCTAGGGAATTGGATCTGTGCTCCAGTTCCCTGAATTAAACCTGAATACCTTCCATCCCCCACCTTACAGGCGCTGTATAAACCTACGGGTTTAGTGCTTCCCCATTATAATAATTTTACTATGATCTAGAGCTAGAGCCCAAGAGGAAATCACTTTGGCACAAAACACACTACTATCTTTCTATAACATAGAGCTAGAGCCCAAAAAAGATCCCTGTAGCACAAAACACAATACAATCTTACTATGACCTAGAGCTAGAGCCCAAGAGATCACTCTGGCACAAAACACACTACTAGCTTTGTATGACCTAGAGCTAGAGCCCGAGAGATTACTCAAGCCTAAAACACACTATCTTTCTGTGACCTAGAGCTAGAGCCGAAAACGAGATCATCCTGGCACAAAACACACTAGAGAGATAGTGTGTTTTGTGCCTGAGTGATCTCCTGTTGGGCTCTAGCTCTAGGTTATAGAAACGTAGTGTGTTTTGTGCAGTGATCTCCTCTTGGGCTCTTGCTCTAGGTCACACAAAGGTAGCTCTAGGTCATTGAAAGGTAGTAGTGTGTTTTGTGCCAGAATGATCCTGTCTTGGGCTCTAGCTCTAGGTCATCGAGGGATAGTAGTATGTTTTGTGCCAGCGTGACCTCTCGGGCTCTAGCTCTAGGTCATAGTAAGATTGTAGTGTGTTTTGTGCCACAGGGATCTTTTTTGGGGCTCTAGGTCATAGAAATGCAGTAGTGTGTTTTGTGCCAGAGTGATCTCCTCTTGGGCTCTAGCTCTTGGCCATAGATAGTGGTGTGTTTTGTGCTAGAGTGATCCTCTTTTTTGGGCTCTAGCTCTAGGTCATAGAAAGCTAGTAGTGTGTTTTGTGCCGGAGTGACCTCTTGGGGTCTAGCTCTAGGTCATAGAAAGTTACATCCTGGCGCGGTCTCCATTATATTCGGTCTCGCTTAGATTTTTCCCCCTAGAATTATGTTTCAGGTTCATTTCCTCATGAATTTATTCTTATTCCATTTCCTCGGATCAACATTTCACCCTCAACTTATGTTTTCCTTCAGTTTTAAAACCATTTTAAGTACACACAAATATATTTATTATTCAATATGTATCTTTGAAATATTTGTGGTTGATTTTAATTCTCAAATATTTGTTTCTCTATACTTTTATCTTCTACTTTTATTATTTATTCTTCTACTGTCAGTAGTTTAGTTTAATATCTTCATTATGTACCCCATACCCATCCTGTGGGGGTCAGTAGTAACCACTATGTTCTGATATATTATGTACACTTCTACTGTCAGTAGTAGCCACATTATGTTTCTCTTTATTATTTTATATATTTTATATATATATATATATATAAAATATATATATATATATATATTATATATATATAAAATATATTTATTATATATATCAATGGGTCAACTATGTAAAACATATGGATGGTACTAATGATACTTAGATAACATATACATATACAGGGGATCAGCAACTATGCTGACAAATACTGAGGAGGTCAAATTCTCAGGCAGCGCTCTAGCCCCACTTATTCCACTCAGCCACACAAATTGCCACAGACTGGGCAGCCCTGCTTCACAACCCATGTTTCTCTCCCAGTCCGGGCACGTCAGTGAGCCTCAAGCATGGATTCAAGCTATTTCAATCTCCTCCTGTATGTTTGACCTTCAAGGGATTTTTATATAATCACACGCTTGTTTCTGCTGTGGGGGTGGGGGGACCCGAAGTTGGGGGTGGGGGAACCTGGAAGTGGGGGGTGGGGAACCCGAAAGTGGGGATGGAGGAACCTGGAAGTGGGGTGGAGGAACCTGCAAGTGGGGTGGGGGACCCGGAAGTGGGGGTGGGGGACTGGAAGTGGGGAAAAGGCATACAGAAGAAAAGTCCACTTCAACTACTCAAATGATTTTTTTTTGGCAATAAAAAAATGGAAGGAAATAATAGTCCACCACCTTGGAGCCTTGTTGGACTGGAGGCACAGCCAGTGGCCCCCCATGGCCCTCCAGAATCACAACTGCTGAGGCCAATAATAAAATCCCCCCAACAAACACAGAATACAACCTCGTTTATATTTGCTAATATACAGGGCCTTAAGCCATCCACCAACAATAAAATACCTTTTATCAGTGGACTTCTAGAGGAGTCTAATGCGATGTTTGCAGCCTTCACAGAGACCCACACAAAAGATCACTTTGACATTGAAATAGGAATAAATGGGTACAACTTGTTTAGATGTGATAGAAAGAATAGGAAACAAGGGAGGGTTGGCCTGTATGTCAAAGAGTCACTCATCTGCACGGAGATGCTGAACACCACAAATGATGTAGTTGAAGTTATAATAATAAAGATCGAGAACCAAAACCTAGTCATTGTGGTTGTATATAAGCCACCAGATGCAACCTCCCAAAAGTTCAAGGAGCAGTTACGGAAAATTGATGACTGTCTGGAAAGCCTTTCAACTCCATCCCCAAACATCTTACTGCTTGGTGATTTCAACCTAAGACATACAAAATGGAAGAATGTAGCAAATAATGTTATAGCAGAAACAATCCCTGGAGGCAGCGCAAATGAAAGGTCACACACACATGAGCTACTAAATCTCTGCGATAAACACACCCTAAGTCAGCAGATAGTGGAGCCAACAAGACTGGAAAACACACTTGACCTTATCTTCACAAATAATGAGGACCTGGTGAGAGGCATAACAATATCAAAAACAACTAATTCCGATCACAATATAATCGAAGTTCAGGCTTACATGCAGAGGGATCCTGATCAGTAAAATGCACGTAGCTGTGGAAATGTCTTCACCAAATATA